TCTTCACACACTCATAGTGCCTGGCATGCAGAATATATTCCGTCAAAAACAGTTCACTGCAGTATTAGAATGGGAACTCCCTTTCTCTTTTCCCCCATTCTGCCTCCTTCTCTTACTCGTCTCTCCCCAGCGCCATCTCCACCAGGCTCTGGGGCGGCGCTGTCGTGGTGGACGTCGGGACAAGGGCGTTCTCCCGTCGAGGCCAAGAGGACGTCGCGGGGAATCTGTGGGGAGAGGCGGCCTTCCCTTGCCGTTCCCTCTTGCTCGACTTGACAGGAAATGCGACTCAGTTTTTGGGTTCGTTGGAATTCGGGTGTTTAGTTTTCTCTTTATTTGTCTGTTGTTACTATTATTATATTGATTTTTTTCATAAAAGCGATGGGAATTCTAGTGCTAAGGAATGATGGTTATCTTAGGAACTTGGTGAATGCTTTATTTTGGTGTTGATATTGATTGAATTTCGACTTCATAAAGCATCATAATGTATAAAGCCATAAGGCCAAATAAAAAATACCTTTGGTTCAAGTGAGTCGGTAGAACGGGATTTTTTCTCGGGGGGGGGGGGGGACTTTTGAGGTGGAGTAATGAACCTGTTCGTGGACACTACCTCACTCTAAACCCTGCCTCCCAGACCTAAATATCACACTGGAGAAATTAAACAGGTTTATTTTTAAAGCACGTTCGCCCTATGTAGTATCGCAGGTCATTGTCTAGTGTCCATCGACGTGATGCGGGCCCGAATTTGCTCAGTGTGCTTTGGTAGTCATTAATCTAGCCATGGTGGCGCTAGGGGTTATCTTTTTGGCGGTATTTTTTAAAAGAAGGGTTTTAGAGTTGAGGTACATAGTAATTTAGCGATAAAGATGTTTGAGTCGGCATTTTTTTCGGTAAAAAATACGGTCGGTCGAGTTACCTGAACCAAACGTATTTTTTTATTTTGGTCTAACTGAACGCCATTGACACGTGTTTCTTTCCCCGATCAGCAACACTTTCTTTCTACCACTTTGCTCAGATTCCTCAAGACGTCCGGAGTGTCTCTGTACCCGGGGATGCGAACGGTGCTGGTGGGGCCGCAGCACCAGATGGCAGACGCGCTCCAACACCCCAGCCTAAGAAACGCAATCCACGCAATCTACCTCGCACTCAAAGGTTTGCCCTTGAGAATGTAAATACGCTTGAAAAGTTTTGCTTTCATGAATGAAAATACATTTGAAAATTCTAGCGGGTAGAACACGATCGCATCTTCTACTTGATAGACATGGTGATAGACAGGGCCGTCGCGGAGGGGGGGGGGGGTGACACCTCCCTGAGAAAAAGCTGTCGGCTAATGAAGCTAAAACTGGTATTTTCCGGCAAATTCCTAGAAATTTCTGAGCCATATATCCTTTGTAGATCGATGAGTGTGGAAAGCAAGCAGATCATGGGGCGTTGCATAGAGAAACGCGACTAATGAATTCACACAATCTTAAAATATGACTACTTTTTAACGACCACACCCAGCAACCACGCCCTTTTGTCGGCAAATTCAAAACATTACACCCACACCCTCTACGCCGCTTTTGCGACGCCCCTGGTGGTAGATTTCCCTCTTTAAGGCACTATGCATTTTTGGGTAGGGGGAGGGATAGGAAAATGGAAAAATACGGAAAAAAGAGTGACACACACACACACACACACACACACACACACACACACACACACACACACACACACACACACACATATATATATATATATATATATATATATATATATATATATATACATACATATATATATATACACACACAAACACATACATGTGTGTGTTTACATATATACATACAGGTATATATTTACTACAGAAATTATACGTAAAGGTCAATTTGAATTGAGTGAAGCAACACCCATTTTATTTTTTTCTTTACTCGTAGATTATCCATTACAGCCAGGTCTCAACAAATTGCAATACATTATCCAACATAATCCATAGGTTAAATAATAGATTTGGAATATATTCTCCCCTAAACGCTTAAAATGAAACGGTTTACATTTCATGTTACTAAAATAATTTACATAAAAAATCATTTCAGGATTATTCATTTTGTAGTCAAGAAAAATAAATACCTTATCACTTAAAGAGAAATGAGAAATAATTATCGTTGCAAAACATCGTTGCATTTAAGTACAGTGGCTTTTTCTTTAAGCTAGAACTTGAAAGGCCTCTTAACTCAGGTTGTAGGACGTTTTTTTCCCATACACAAAGTTCTCTCCACACCTGCACTTAAAGGCATTGGAGTCTCAAGCTCTAGAAAGACTTAGATGTAGCAGTTAGGAAGTTTGTAAGGACTTTGGTTAAAAAGTCAGAGGACAAATTGACTTTGGGTCAGAGGACAAATAAAAAGTCAGAGGACAAATCCATGGAGGTTTGCTCTGCTCTTGAATTTTCTTATGACTTTCTTGTTTTGGGGGGTTTGTATGGGGATACACATCTTGTACACGTAAACTCAGAGAAGTCAGCTGTGGGACGATCTGTGCAGGTTTACTGTGAATTCAATTTGTATGCTTCCAAAGTGACCAATTCGTAAAATAGCATGAACATTGCAGAACAGTGGCAGCATTACCAAATTATTTACTTAAATTTAATGGCAGCATAATCACCATCGTTGCAATAATAATAATAATAACATACGTACCGCCATTATCTATTTATATATCCACACACACACACACACATATGTATACACACACGCACACACACACACACATATATATGTATATATATAGAGAGAGAGTTAGTGTGATTTTTTCAAAGCATATTACATCAGATTTACAAGTAATTCATGAACAAACCATTGGGTAACTTAATCAGAGTTTTGCTATAAAGAATCTACGAAAAATTTTCGGATGAGATCAGCGTCTGGATAAACTTTGTTTTGTAGATATATGCTGAATGCTTGAAACATTTGTATATATTTGTGATACTGTAAAGCAAAAAAGGCTTTTATCTGCAGTGTCCTCATCTGCAATTTCTTGGAATTCTTTTTTTTTTTTTTTTTTTTTTTTTTTTGTTCGCGAATTTCAAGTAATTTCAAGTTTATACTCCGGCCACACAGGCGTGCCAACATGTCTCTTTAGCTCGTCAACACGCATGCGCGACCCATCACTGAATAGGTAAAATACCAAATACTTATATTTTATTTTGTAACTTTTCATTTTGCCATTTATGGAGTATTCATGAGATATTTTATAATAAATCACATGTGGAAATGGTTTAAGATTATTCAGAAAGGTATGTTTTGGGCTCAAAAGAGTCAATCAAATGTAATACAAATTTTCACTTTATAGGTAGCATTTATTAATGGGTGATAAATACTCGTTTAAATTTCTTTGCATGACTTACATTTACCATTATACTCATGAGAGACTGTTTATAATTATTTTTGATAAGAAACAAGAATTTACGAGAATGAAAAATGAACATGTGTTTTTAAGATGAATCAAATGGCAGATAGATGAATAAACGCTGTCGAAGTTCAGTGTCATAACCAGAGCAGTACATTCGAATTTGTGTACATTTTGATAGACCGCAAGGGATCATTAGAATAAAACTCCACAAATGTTAAAATAGTACCATTTCTTTTTTTGCTTTCCATATAGATGGTATTAAAGTATATGATAATGGTAATCCCAATAATAATAGTAATAATAATAGTGATTATTTCATTTTAAAAATAGCATTACCGTTACTGCTACTAATAATAATCAGGTATTAAGTAATTCCTATCGATATCTACTATCGAAATTAAGCAGAAATTGTCGTGTAATTAATGAAAAATAGTTTTAATAAATCACCACTGCCGTTGTCATTGTCATTGCATATTATAATTATCATTATTGTATCATTCACCGTTGTAATGGTCAATAGCCTTAACAATAATGATAGAGCAGGGTAGGAGTGTGGAAGTCAATCCAGTAAATTGTGCAAATGCAGTAAAATGGTTGTTTTTAGGACAATTATAATCCATAATTCTAGCATGTGATGTGGCATCAGGTGTAAGCAATCATTTAAATCTCAATTATATCGTGCCACGGGACATTGTGTGTGAGACAGCTGGTTTTCTTCAAGCTTTAGGACACTTTAACCCGATGAGTTATCGTTCGCTTGACAACGCCGATGCTCCGCCCACAGACTTGAAATAATTGCATATATTTGGCGCTGCAGATAAAGCCTTCAGTTACAATCAACAAATCTAACAAACGAGTTCTTTAGCTTCAACATGCCGATTCACATCTAAAAAAAATCGTGAGCACTTGCTGTACAGGCAAATAAACTGCATTGCATGCATAAAATGAATCGAGACTCTTAATATACTGTCAAATCGATGCACTTATATTTCCACTTCCACTTTGCTAATCCATTAACAGATGGCGTGAGCAAGGGCGTGTTTGTTTATCGACGCTGTCTTTATTGCGATGGCGGAGAAATGGGGGTTCGGCTACTTGACCAGTGGCAACTGAAATCGGATCCCTCGCGATTTCCGAATCCCTTTTCTGGTAAGGATTCATTTACGATTACTTTTAGCTAATGCATTTCACATTTCTGTGTCCTTGTGTTCTAGTATGTCTGTATAGGTCTAGGAGTGTACAAGCGTAGGAAAGAGGGACTATCACTACAATTGCACATTCGGTTCTCTTTCCCTTTTTTACGTTTTTTTTTTTCTTTCTCTCTCTGCATTTGCTTTCCTCCTGTGTACTCTTATCGCATTTTCAGAAGAAATCGGCGACTTCATGGGTCACAATTTTCGCATCGTTGCAAGGTTTTACTTCCCGACCATCGACTACACGCGAGATACGGATGTGAACGGAACCACAGTCACGCTGCGGGATTCTCTCAACGCTCGCATGCTCGTGACCATTGCCGCCAAGCTCAATTTCACGTTCGTTCATGGCGAATGTCAAAGCTGTTCTTACTGTTTGTTGCTTTGCAGTGATTAACTTATTTAATTCTAATGTGTATTTGGTTTTATAGAATCGTTATATATGAAACAGCATAGCTCCCGTATAATTGTTTCTTGTTTTGATAAGGGTACGAGAGTGTACTTTAAGTTTCCTTGATCTGTCCTAATTAGCATTAAAACCATCCATTCGGGCGAAATAAATTACCAATCATAATAATGTTTCAGATACGTTATCCGTGAACCAAAGGACAGGGAGTGGGGAGCGCTGCTTGAAGGAGGAAACTGGACAGGTTTAGTAGGAACCCTTCAGCAGGAGGAAGCTGACTTCTCAATGACCATCACTCCCACGGCGCCCAGACTCCTGGCGATGGATCAGGCCAGGACACCACAATCTCGTCGCTGCATGGCATGGCTTTGTTCTTTTGTGAGATCATTTTTTTTTTTTTTTTTTTTTTTTTTTTTTTTTTTTTTTTTTTTTTTTTTTACGAAAGTCCTGTTATGTAAAGGGTGACCAAAGATGAGCGTTGATGCATGTAAAGCTTCTCAAACTTTCTCTTAATCTGCCTTAGATAGATTACTCGTTAAGTTCCTGTTCATTTTATTAGCAACGCAAATAGCAGTCGACCCAGGGAGATGTTAGTGACCATTAGTTAGTGTTTAATTATATTAAGAAACTGTTCACTTCCTGATAGGCCTAGGGACGTCTTATCAACCAAGCAAAGTACAGACTCTCGACTTGGTTATTCCAAGCCATATGCCAGTTAGATTATTCAAGAGCCTCTCTTGTCGTCTTTCAGGCACGGTCTGGTTAATTTTGGCAATATCTGTTTTCGCGACGGGCGTGTCTCTCTTCGTCTTACTGCGGGCGTGGTCAAGGCTGTCAGGCAAACCCGTCTTCAGTCTGAGCACCGCGCTCTTCTTCTCTTGGGGGACGGTGCTGGAAGACCCCCCACCGACCGCCCCAGAGCTCAACGGGCAGGGTATAAGCAAAAAGAATGAAGAAAATAGATTCTATTATTCAGTAAACCTCTGTTGATTCTAGAGTTGTTGTTTTTTATAATTTTGTCATTCCGATAGAGGTCCTTGTTTCGTTGTTTCGATTCAAGCGATGTGCTAAACGTGGATTAAATATTTTGTTTATTTGATATGCTTACACACGCAGGTTGTGGTGATTTGCCTGGCCATACTAAGTGTGGTTGCGGGTTCTGGCTATCGCTCCTCCCTGGCCGCACACTTGACTGTTCAGCTCAAGGAAGCCGAAGTCAACACATTCCGCGACTTGACTGCACGCAGGGGCTGGCGGTGGGGCAGCGAGCTTCTCTTGGGCGCATCGAGGTCGTACTTCGAGCTCAGCACGGACCCTGTTGTCCAAGAAGTATTCCGGCGGATGGAGGTATTTGCGTTACGTGGCCTAAATGTCTACATGATTATTTTTTCTCTATTAATCACAAAACGCGCGCAGATGTAGATAAATAAATATAACCGTATAAAATCATAACCAATTTTCCTTACATTATTGACATTTGACGGAATGGTGGGACATTCGAAGTCAATGTGGGCCATCAGAGGTCAGCTGATAATTTCCACGTTCACTACAGGTTGTAGTGAGAAACCTTGTCCAAAGATATATTCACTCTTCTGCAGTGGTATTTACAGGTCCTTACTAGCGCTGAAACAGGCGATGAAACTGATGGGGAAGCAAGTAGCTATCTTGGAAGGACCCTCTAGGTGGAATAGGGTACCGAGGAGAGAGGTTTTTTATATTACTTTTTGTGTCTGGTTAATAGATACAGTGTGCACAATAACTGTGAGGACGTATGCGTACCTCGTGGCCCTAATTTGAAAAGTTACAGCACGTTTGAAAGATGCCATGCCTTCATCAATTTTATTGGTATGGGGAATTTTCTCCATTTTGTACGATAAAACGTTGTCATATCATTAATCTTTAACCTGCTTAGTATGTAAATGCTTTCATCTTAGTCCAATGTATTAGTTTTCGGTTAAAAACGCAGCTGGCACATCTTTTTCATAAACCTTCTTTTTCAGGATTTTTCTGTTGCTATAGATTAGGTGTTTACATACAGATTAGACTAGTGAGAAAGAAATTCCAGTCGCGGAATAAATGAAACCATCCATATTGTTGCGCAACACAATTATCTTTAGACACTTTTCCGTTTTTCTCTTGTAGACACACGAGCTAGATGAGAACATGGAACTGGTGCTACAAGGTGGCTATTCCTTCATCACAACGAAGTTCCAGAACACGGCCGTGGTGGCGCTGCAATATACACACGCCCGTGGGTACTCGCCCATTCACACCAGCCGTGTAGAGTATCCAAAGTTTGCAGGGACTTCTTGGGGATTCAGGTGACATTTGTCCGAATTACTAATCTTTAGAGGAAGTTCAAGTCCACAGAGGCACGCACACACAAATCCCCCTTATGTCGTACTTAGTGGCACACGCAGCCCCTTTATGCCGTACTTTGGGTCACACGCAGCCCCTTTATGCCGTATATATTCATAATCCTTTTTTGCAATACCCACCTACCAGATGGGGTGGGTGGGTTACATTATATTGCCCATCTGATACGCGCCCGCGTGTGTGCGTGTGTATGGATGGGTGTGAATATGTATGTAGATGTAATATATTGGTCATATACATAGCGAAATGATTGAACTCGAGGGAACGGCACGCACTGAATTAAGAAATGTATCGACCGTCAGGAGAGGCGCTCCATTCCGTCGGCAAATTGCGAGGGCAATGCAGCAGCAAATAGAAGCAGGACTTATTGACTACTGGCTCGAAGATGTGGTGAAGGAGAGAGTTATAGAGGAGAGGAATGACACAAACCAAGTCCAAAAAAGTGCTGTTTGGGATTACACACCTGATGTAAGAGTCGTTGTCCAAAGAAATACTTGTCTGCCAATATGTGAATATGCTTAGCTTAGATATATTTGATCCTTATTATTGCAATATATTTTTTTGTTACGCAACACCTCACCAGTGACGAAATACGTTTACTCTTTTCACAACTTCTAGTATTATTAAGTTTATCTGTACGTAATAACTGGCCATTACTGTGTACAGGATGGCAACGACCGAGTTCCTCTGACCGTGAGCCATCTGCAAGGCGGCTTTTACCTCCTGTTCCTGGGTCACTTCATCGCACTCATCGTCTTCGTTGGGGAGAAGTGCTGCCCCATAAGACGAGAGGAAAATGCGGGATGATGGTATATGTCATATTTGCTCTATCTGTAGAACCAGTGTTGGAATATTAGTGTTTTTAGAATAGGTTCCATAATTTTTAAATGATTGTAAATTGCATCCTTACATTTTCATTTTTGTAGTAAACCTCTAGTGTGTAGCATACTGATTCCTTAGAAAAAACATTTAATAGAAGTGACTAGATATTTACTGCTAAATAGTAGGACCGAAAATTAACGTTCTAGCCGTCTTCGCCCTCTAACTTCACTAAATTAGTATGCATTCATGTATGTTCGGTTATATAGTATCGGCAATAAAATAAAAATAATGACCATTCCTGCATTCCTGCGTTACCTAAAATACAATACTGCACAGCTGTTGTTGTCGGTTTGCCGGAATCTGTATCAGTTTTTTCGGCCTTAAACTGTTTTGGTTCCATTTCTCAATGCTTCAGAAACAATATACCATGCAAGTAAATTAATAAAAATAGCTGGATGCTATCTTTCTTGATGGTCTCTCTTTTAAAACTGAAATTGTAATCCTCAGAAACGCTGGTGCCGATTGGTGATTTTTGCGGCTTGGGGAAACAAATTTCCTATTCGGAGCCATTGTTATACCTTAGCATGGCATTCAAACTACGGCACATCACAATTAATAAAAATTAATTTCCTACCGACAATAAAGCTCCAACAGTGATCTGGGTTGGAACTCATTTACACATCAGAATGCCCAGTCCTGTAAAAGAAATACCACAACATATATATGAAACCAAATAACTAGCTAAACTTCTCACTTTAAAATGTGACCTTAATGATTGGTATGCATGATGATAATGTTGGCAATCAGTAAATGTAGCCCAATATATGACAAGTAATTAGCCACTGCAATGGATGACATAACACCATCGTAAACTAATATAGAATTGATGTAATATTCCAAAACCTAAAGTTTAGAAATAAAAGAGGATTCTGCTAGCTCTGAAGAAAACAAGATTGGAGAAGTAATTCGGTAAAAACAATTAAAACATGAAACTTTCGAATTACGTCTTTCCTTACCATCATAATTCCATAACTCTCAAACATTTTAATTTTTATTGCTATAATTATAATACATGAAATGGGGGTAAGAGTGCTATTATATTCAGCAGTGAATTATCGAGGTTATTGCATCATGGCACTGTTAAGTATAATCAATATACCAATAAATTTTGTTTAATAAAAGGGATAAAAAAAGACAGAAATATAGAAATACAAAATTATTTTCCATACAAAGGAAATTTACATTTTTATATAAATTTCAACTGGCATAAGGCAACCAGATATTCTCCAGTTAAATATCACATGTAAGCTGCCCATCCAATATACATCTGGCAAAGATTATCTACATTTGTAGCTTCTTCAATAAGGGAGTTAACCTGCCCCTCAACAGACAGGGGAAGATTGAGACCTCGCCCCTTTGTACGAATCTGTCCACTAAGACGATGTTCTATGTTGCTGACATGCATCTGTGCCTAGAAAGATGAATATCAAAAACAGTTAGAAAATTTCATAAATCTTTGGATAGTTAACCTGCATTATTAAACAACTGCTTACAATAGAAATATGAATTTAGAAAAAACAAAAACAAAAAAAAAATGAGTATACTTTTTCTTCTTTCTATCTTTCACATCTTTATTACATTGAATCACTGAAGCATACCTTTTCATTGTTGATTTCACCTGTGTTCTTGGCACTTTTATCTCCTCGTGACCACTCCACTAAAGGATCATGGATGAAAGGACGAAGTATAGACATGAGGGCATCACGCTCATCTCTCATCACCCGCATTGTAACCTATTGTAGGACAAAGAAAGGCTGAGTTTACTTTGCACTTGCAGTTGTGAAACCTGTACTTCATGTAAGATGATGAGACACATTTGAACAGTAACTTTGCTATTTTACACAAACCTCACAAGTTTTCCGAAAGATGCCTTCATATCCTGTAGGGCCCATAGCACTAACCATGTTGTGGGTGAGACGGAATGGAACTCGCTCAGGCCAGTCAAATGTTTCTCCCTGGAATGAAAATGTAACTTATATTAACTTGCGGAATAAAACTAATGAAGGTAACATGAACCTTCCATTTTATTTTTTATTTTTAACTCCAAATATCACGGCCTAATTATTATACATTAGTGTTGAAAGTAATCAATATATGCCCTTCACAAACCTTGTTGAAAAGGCAGTTGAAATCCACATGTACTGTGTCACCATTTGAGGAATCAAATAAAATGTTTTCACCATGTCTATCGCCAAGACCAAGAATATAGCCCACCATGGACATGACAGCTGTTGTGCGGCAATAACTCAGTCTTGCTCTTAACCTAGAAGTAAAAATTATCACTCATACTTGTATATATCAGAACCTTTCTAAGATTCTTATTTATTATATGAAATTAATGTAATTATATCATAAAAAGTCACTGCTTCTTCCTGTTTTCTAAGATTCTTCTGAGCAACCTTTATCATGAGATAAGACAGCATTTTGATGTATGATTTTTTCATATATTCTGAAAAAACAAGATTCAACACTTATGTAATTTGCTCACCATACTTGTGGATCTGGGAAATTTCGGAGGAACCATTCACCAAATACAGGAGGATGTCTAGGAACTAGTTTGTTCTTGAAGATGTCACGTTTTGTTGCTAAGGGTGTGTCAATTTTGCACATATTCTGCTTCAATTCCTGACCAGTCATGTATATCCCAGTGTCTCTGTAGATGCGGTGGAGGATCTGTCTCAAGCCGTTGAGGTTCTGAATCCACTCAATCAAGCCACATTCTTCATTCAGAGGCACTACTGCCTGTAATCAAACGAGGTCTTCATACAATTTTTATGATAGTTATGAACACTCTTTTCATTATGTTATATGAATTCCTACATTATTTCTGAATTACACACTAAATTATTTCTGAATAGAGTTCATACAATCACTGGCTTAAGAACCATTTTAGCCTTTCTTCACTCAGTAAATGCAACTATAGTCTGTAAAAAAAGAAAGAAAAAAAATAAAACTACAATTAGGTCAATCTGACACCAATAAGAATAGAAATAACAGTTAACACTCACATATGTTCTAATGTGCAAATCCCTTCTTCTTGACTCTGGATCTTGCACAAGGCAGCGGTTGACAAATGCATTAAATTCCATGAGTCGACAATCTTTCCTCAAGTCATCCTGTAGTTTGTAAATTCATTATTATTATAAGGAAAATTCCCTGAATTAATTAATACCATAACACTTTATTATTGTGATAATGCCAAATATTTAATTCTAACTTGAAACGTGTAATAGTACATGCATGTATATTCCTTACGATTAGAAGAGGAAGAAAAAATAAGTAAAAGTAATAATGAAATCATTTTACCTTTGGTTTGCACATCATGATGTATTTATTGCCATCTGAACCTCGCAATGTTATTTTCTTTGGCAACTGCAGGGATTGCATAATTTCCACTTGATCTTCAATACTTGCTAAGAATACTTCAGCTCTAGAAAAGAACAAAACAGTTTTTTTCCTAAATAACTACACCATTTATTTTATATTCTTCATGTTTATGCTCAGTTTTTTTTGCGAAACTAGTAAAGAAGTCTATCCTTTATACTCTTCAGCAAAATATGAACTCCATAAATATAAGATAACACAACCAACAACTATGTAATGTGTATTATGATACTGAAAATAATCATATATGAAATACATTCATAATATACAAAACTATTTTTTACTTTAAAACTTGGTGAGCTTCAGTAATACTCATACAGTTTTACAATGAAATAGGGCTTTTTTGGTATTTTGGATGTTGCAGTACCCAGTACATAACCTTTACAAACTATTTATAAAACAATATCTCCCAGAGTACCTGGAAAATGGGTTGTGAGAATGAAGAGCATCTGAAGACACAGGAGTTGTTACAGTCATCTGTTGCTGAAGGGGCAGGATAATGCTTGAGAAAGATGAATCTGAGAGCAGTCTTGGAAGTCCTCGTAATAAGTTGTTCAGGCTTACTTGGGGTACCCCCTGACAACAGAAAAATATCTTCAAAATTGGGCAAGATATGCTGGTGATGCTCTGTTATACAGCATGTCTTGCTTTTGCATTATTTGAAAAGATATGAATGAGACTGTATTTCTGACAAAGATATATTTGAAACCAATTAAATACATTTCTTGTATTGTGAAGATATTCATTCTCATTCATACATTTACTGCATTTGTCAACATGAACATGGTTCATTTTGCATTATTACTGATATCACTTAATTCTCACTCTAAACATTCTATATATACCTTCTATATTGTGTTAATCTTTATGATATCATTCCAGTCACTGCTGTAGTACATACCTTTTCTACATGCTTATTTGAGAGTTCAAGAAATTTATCTGCCAGTTTGGTGGCATCAGCAATAAATTTGTGAAGGTTTGGATTCTTTCTCTTGGCAGTCTCAAATATCTCGATACATCTTGAAACTCTCATTGGATATGAAGACTGAAATTAAAATGAAATCAAGCTTTTAAATCTGACAAGGACTGAAATATGAAAAAAAAACAGTTACCAAAGGACACTGGCATAGATAAAAACAATACAATCTCTAAGACAATTAATTAAAACAATTGATGTGATTATCATCACAAATTAATTCTTACCTTAGACACAGCTATCATATGCCACATGGCTTGTTGTGGGTAACTGCTAAGCATTGTAGCAATGATCTTACACAGTTGAACAAACACTTCATTATTGGAGTGGCAGATTCTGGAAATTAGTTGTGGTAGTGCTGTCATAAACATATAATGTGGTAGTCGATCTACCAAGCTTCCTGTAAGAAAATTACACAATCAGAAAGATTATCCAAGTAAGAAGATAAACTTCACTACTCTCACTCCTTTCTCTAAACATCTTTTGTTAATGCTATTATAATTTCACAGAATTCAACTAGTTTCCATGTCGTCTACATACCAACAGCACCATTGAGGTTTGCCAGTTTTTCCCTGTGGCTGTCCAGGGTGCTGTTTTTCCTGCTAACCCTAGACTTTTCTTCTTTAGCCTCTAATTCACTGACTCTTGTTCCAAACTCTAGCCACAATCCCAGCATTCTTGGCATTGACTGATAGATGTGACGGCAGCCATATTGGAGTGATTTTCCAAAACTACATAAAATGAGAGAAGGTTTATTTAGTTGGAAATAAGGTTTTTCTGGACCAACAACCCCCTAAGCCAATACTTCGGCTTAAAGTGGGAGGTCACTTTGACACCAATCTCCTATCTGACAGATAATTGGAAAACATGAAACTGGTTTACTGAAATGATAGCACTAAGCATTACTGTACTCAAGAGCTTAATATCAAAACCCTTAATCCCACCACATATCTATATATCTACATAAATACTTCAAAATCCAAACCATGAAAATAAAAATTATTACAAACCTTAAGACTATGTGATGAATCCACTCCACAGGTTTCTCCTTGACATCCAGTGAACTTAAAATACGGTCATAATACATAGCAAGATGGAAATGTCCATCTTCCCACTGTTTGTTCATCTCACATGCATCTCGGTAATACTGTTTTATAGTGTTGACTTCCTGTGTGGCTGATTCTTCAGAGTATCTTGCAAGGAGCAACTTGGCACGACCATAGGCAATTCGCTCTTCCTAAAAAGTATCTTACATAAATTAGTCAACAAAGCTTGGCTAATTTGCCATTAAGTATCAAGAGAGACATTTTTATATTAAAGATGTATTCATGCTTTATCTTTTTATCTTATTCATCATTCTGTAGGAACTGTTGCAGATGTCTATTATAACCATAAATTAAAAAACATATACAATTTTTATGCAATACTGACTTGTGTCTCCTTGCCAGTATCTCCTCTGTAATCATCACTTGAGGAGAAGAACTTTTCCATCCCACGGTTTAGAGTCGTCACAGCTTGATGCTGCTCACCCTTCACCCAGTGCCACTTTGCTCGTTCAATAAAAACATCTCTTCCTGAACCTGGAGAATTTTGTATTGAATGCTCTTCGCATATCAAGGATATACTTACATTCAATTACAACCAATAAGTTCACTTAATGAAAGTTAGGAATTCTGCATCAGACTATTTTTGTACTAAATAAGTGCTCTAAACTCACACCCGAAAAGAAATCAAAATGATAAAAGACCCTAAACCTCTCCCCCTATATGAATCAGCAATAAAAATGAATAGTTACCCGCTCCAAGGAGAGCCCATTCTCCTTGCTGTGTGTGCCCTGCCTTTCGTGCAACTTTGGCACTATGAAGCCACGTACTCTCCAGCCGGGTGACTAAAGATGAACTCAAAGATGAATCACTCTTTAGAGTCCACTCTCGGCCAAGTTCTAGTAAGGTTCTGTTGGTGGGAATATACATTTCATACAGTTGAAGCAACAAAACACTATTATTTCTACTAGATATTTTTTTGTTTTTTGATTTTCCAGATTATGTTTCAACAGTCTCTTACTAACTGAAATCTTAATGTACTCTATGATATTATTCAAGGACTCAGCTGGGAGTCTAATGTATGACAAAAAAAGATACATAATAACAACAATGCTGCTTAAAGAGTGTCCAAGTAGACAAATGTTAAGAAAAGTGACAAAAAATAAGATTAACAGTAGTGATCCAATGCAATATTACATTGCATAATCGATTTAGCATACCTTCGAAAACTTAGGATAGGCTCAAGGTAACGGTGGGATGTCTGAACAAGGCTCAAGCGCTTGTCCCATCTTTCAACAAGTTCCTGAAGGTTTAGGGGCTGCTGCTGGTGATCAAAGTTCATCTTGAGCTCTGGACTTGAAAATCTGATTTTTGTATCAGTGGGCTGGTTAAACTGAAGTAATCCAGATACCATTTCCTCCAGCTCAGTAAGAATGTGTAGTCTGGAATTTTACAACAAAATAATGAATTGTCTCAAGTAAAGATCATTCATAAATTTTGCAATATTTCCCATACTTATCAAGTAAATATGTTAACCACAAGAATGAAAAAAATATATCTTCCTAAACTAACTACTCAACACCTTGAGTTCAAATGATATGATGGTCTGGTTTGTACCTATTTTTACTTTAAAGTAGTGTTAAAGGAATACGCAATCAACAAAAACCTTACTGAATTCTGAATTTTCCATTTTGCATTATGTGATCACATTTCATGTGGCCTAGGCTTAAGCTACAGCATTCAGTACATTAGGTGTATCAAACTGCTGGAGGAATTCTATCATGAGAGGTTAAAGAACTACACAATTCATAATTTCTCCCTGACCTTAGTATGTTTGGATATGCTCTTTGATATGCCCACTTCTCCATACTGGCAGCAGACAGGGGAGCAATCTGCTGTGTCCTCAAGCGACGCAGACTTGACTGGTATGCTACAGAGTCACGAGCACGAACTGCAAGAAGGACCTGGCCTACACCTGAACCCCATGAGTACTGGTTAGGATAAGTTTCAAGGTATTTTTCTAGACAGTCCCATTTGCCAAGTCTCCATGCTGCCTCAACACGGTATTCATTCAGTGATGCCTCCAGCTCTGGCCTGAAACATAGTAATATATCATAATTTCTAAAATGACAAATTTTGAAAATGTAAAGTTGAATCTGATTTAAGGATCTCATCTTTTTTACAATCTACATTAGTATGCAAAAGAAATATACATTTTTATAATGATCTTCGATAATTAAATTGAGTTGTTACCATCATAACAACTGTCAGTACCATATAAAATCTAAAAATATACATTTTTTAAATCTATATATTCATCTGCAAGAATATCATCAATTAAAAACACTGTCAAAACATAATCAAAAGTTATGTGTAACTATCATAATCTAGATATATGCCTATATAGTAAACACACTTACTTGTTAGAAAGAAGCCCATGTGTTATGTTAAGGACTGAGTGAGGTTGATCCAAACTCAGGTAACAATCCAGAAGGCCCTTGTATACTTCTTCTGATCCCTGCCTAACACAAAGGTGCTCATAGCATCCTAAAGCATCTTGTAAGCGACCTGTGAATAAAGTATTTGTTATGCTGTGTAGGATTGTTTAGATATGTGATCCTTTTAGAAATGTGATAAGTACCCTTGACAATGATGTACTATAGTATGTCAGGTATGCTCCTGAAGTACTAACAGTTTCTGGATGGGGATAGTGCTAAACAGTTTCCTGATAGAGATATCTCCTGAAACATTTGAATATGCTTAATATTGCATATATCCCTTGAAATGAATTATAACTTAAAGTAACAAAACCTAAATCTATTGTATTTTCAAATTACTGATAAATTTCTCATGTCACCTGTTGCAACATGCTGAATAACTTGTTCATCCAAAGATGGATCCTCCTGACGGATAGCTGCTACACCAGCAACACCATCTGGTTCATCCAAGGACACATATATGCGCTGTAACATAAAATACTTCTTAATCACAGATCTAGGATTTTTTCTCATATTACATCGCTATTAAGTAACGCAACAAATTGGTCTTATTTACTCAATGATGATATAAATTCATCATCTGTGATAGGACAAACCCTTACTTGCATAAAACCAAGATGCTCCTTCAGCTGATTTGGATTATCTTTCAAAAAGGCTTCAATATGAAGCAGGGCTCGGTGGTAGGCTTGGCACTTGAAAGATGTCTGTGCAAGCAAATTTGCTGGAATCTTCTCAAGAAAACTTGTCACCTGAGATAATACACAAAGACCATCAGAAATGTGGATTTCCTTTATATAGGTGTAGCTAATTGTATGACAAAAAAATAAATAATAATAATAATTTATGCAGCTTGAAAATATTGAAATTGTTATATAAAACATAATTATCATCAATACAACTATAATCAAAATAGTACATAAAAGCCACATTCAATATGAGCAATGAAATAACAAAAGAATACATAATAAGGAAAATAACTTCATAACCAAAACTATTCATCAAGCATGACATTAAAAGACTAAGAAGAGAAATGACATTTACATACATAAATTATCAAGGTTACAAACCTGCTGTAGCTCCATGGAAGGTTTAAAAGCTCCACGTCCTTTCTTTGATGCATTTTCAATCTGCCTCTGTTTCTGTATCCATTTACTTACATAGTCTAAAGCAGTAAACAATGTTTGAACTGCTAGATGCCTGTTTAAAGACAATGATCAACTGTAAGTACATACATCAATCTTGAAACATGCAGTTTATAAGGATAAGGGAAAAAATCCTTGAATTTTGTGTATCATCTGGGTCTGAATATGCTAACCCATCATTTATGGGTTGATTAACCCCTATGATCCAGATGATATGATCCCGTCATCGAAAAATCTGGGTTGAGTGATGTGAACATGGCTTCATCGGGCAAAATGGCTGTAGGCTGGGTGACGCCAACTTGCCATCATAAGCGAAGACCAGGGTGACAGAAAAAACCACAACCGCACAAACCTTCTGGAGTTTGATTTGACTCATTTGGCATTTAAAAGGGGCTTTAGCATTATTCCTATTGTAAATAAGCCATGACTGGAAGGGCATCGGCTCAAGGGAGGATTCCATTTCTATGCTGCGCACTGTATTCCTGGCCACTATGACCAGTGGCGCATGTTGTATTACAGAAAATTGAAAATTACAGAAAAATGGGAAGTATAATACAAATAACCAAATGTTCCATACTTTTTTTTTTTCTTGCAATGAGTAATTTACTACATAGAGAGGTGATAAAGAATCTGTGCAAGGAAAATAAGTTATTACCATCTGGATAAAGCAATTCAAAAGACAAATATGGATATTGGAAAATGGCAAAAAGGCTAAAAAAGTTTACAAAAAATAACTTTGTAATAGGGAGGCACAGAGATAAAATATGATACAGCCATTAATCTATATATAATAAATCATCATTAAACAACTTACCAGAAATTAGTAGTTGTTAAAAATTATAGTATTAGTGAATTACATAGTTTAGGCGACAATTATTTTATTCTTGGTTTCTGGATCCGACACACTTGTTTCCCGATATTTGAAAACAAAAATAATTGAGAAATTGACTTTATTTTTTTCTCACCGCACCTAATTCAATACAATTTGATTCTGATCTGAAAATAAAAATGTTTGTAAAATTAACTTTTCAATTTTCCCAACGATGCTCAACACAGCCTACCATTTTGAAAATAAACAAGGCAGATGTAACAAAAAATTATAAACTCATATCCATTCGCTTTCCAGTAAAGGGTACACAATTCGAAATACACTTGGAGGAGCCGGAGTCAAGGGTCTGTAGATTAAACAGAGGCTTGGACTAGAATCTGTATACCTTCAGTCTTGGTGTGATTGATACCATTACATTTGGCACCTGCTATTCTAAACAAAATAATTTAATATCTTCTGCTTCAAATTCACCAGTATACTATGAAATTGAAACTGAACGATGGAAGCCATGAAGAACCATAGATTTCCTACAAGTTTAAGAGGTGGACCATTTCTTTAATTTTTATTTCTGTTTTGTTTCTAGTCCTTTGAGAAACTCATCATGTCACAGTATCTGCTGTTGTCTAAGTACAATGTGTACTAATATTTTATTAATATACCTGCTCTTGTCTCAAGCATAATATGCCACCTACTGTTGTCTTTCTAGTCAGTTATACCTATAGAAACCTCCACAATCGATGGTATCTGCCGTTTGTCTCAAGCACAATATGTCACCAGTTCTGCCAAAGATCATTCCTGTATGTGGGCACATGGACAATACTAATTCCAGATATGAGGTAGTTTTGTCATTGGTATTTCATTTATTTATTTTTTTACTGCCTATCACATGTTTCCAGAAATCAATACTGTTCTAAAAAAAAAAAAAAAAAAAAAAAAAAAAAAAAAAAAAAAAAAAAAAAAACTACTACTACTTATTTTCATTTTTATTTTGCTACTGTCTATCAGAGGTTCTCCGAAATAAAATTTGTAAACCAAGGAATAAAATAATTGTGGCCTTATCGTAAACAAAACTATCAATGAATGCCTAATTAGTCTGGTTCATGTTTTACAGATATTTTAATTTACAAAAATGCAATAATTATTCATTAACTAACCAAATGGACTGGTAAAACTCTTACTGTAATTCCAGTGAGATTGTAGAAGGCTGCTCTGCCACTGGTTTTTCATCTATGTGTTTCATTACAGCTAAAACCTCCTTGAGAATTGTCTCATGGTGTTGTTCAGACTCTCTTAATGCACATACCAGCACTGGTTGTAACAGATACATAGCTGTTGTTGTGTCTCTACGCAGGATTGGTTTGCAGGCACTAAATACCTGTTAAAGTACCATATTCATGAATACACCTTAAGAAATCATATAAATCAAATATCACCAATAGTAGATAAACCACACATATGCTCAAACTTGGCATGAATTTCAACATTATTATTATACAACATTCAGTAATATAAATGTAAAAGGAAAATAACCACACCAAAAACACACTAAGTACATACCTGGAAAGCTCTTTCCCCTTTGAGCAAGTCTATTAGAGAACATGTCCAATTTGTAAGCCATTGATGGAAAGTTTGTGCCCGAGAACTTCCATATATAGGTGAGGGACGGCCAGAGGTTGATCGACTGTTGCTGTTGGCCACAGTGTACTTTGAGGTCATCAGAGGAAAAATAATCTCCTGCATGTGATATGGCAATCGGTCCCAAGCCCCAGAACCAACTTGTGTTGCCCCTTCTGAGCCTCTTTCTCGGATGCCATAAACTTTTGTTACTTCCTAGAATGATAGAGAGAATCTTGGAGGGCTATCATATCATCAATATTGTTCTTTCTATTGTAAACCTGTAACTAAAAACACTACTAAAAATGAAATACATAAAACAGACTTAAACCATTCACATGTCTGTGAACTAAATAAAAATTCTTGTAATATAAAAATATATTCTGGAGAGAAAGAAAAATAATCCTTTGACTACACTTTCATATATTCATCTCAGGTATATTAACTCTGTTATGAAACTGACTTCTTAGTATTCATATGTGTAATCTGCAACTAAAAACAAGAAACATGTACAGGAACTACTTCTGTTAATGATTACATTACATATGAAATACATCAAAGCTCATTAGACAATATCATATCTAGAACTTATAAAAATTAAACATTTTCCATAACAAAAGGTACTATGTAAATGATAACAACTTTGCATTCAGAGACAGAAAAGATTAAGATAAGAAAATAAACTGACTATATTAATCACTCAAAATAACATACTTGCATGGCATACGATGCACATGTTTGGGTATTGGCATCTGTAGCAGCTAAGAAGGCTCTTCCTAATTCTGTTACCAATTCCACTATGAAAAGTTCTTCTTCAATATTCAGATGTATTTTGCTCAATTCCTCTGAAATAAGATGCAATAAACATTAATAATAATAATAATAATAATAATAATAATAATAATAATAATAATAATAATAATAAAAGACTCAATTTTCTAATAAGTAGATAGGTATACTGCAAAGTGAATTTTATCTCTTTACCAGACATACCAAATCCTACCATTTTTAAATTTCATCTCATGAATTGAATATAAATATAATTACCTTTAATGTTGGAATGTGTATAGAGGCGCATTGGGTCAATGGCACCCAAGAGACCAAGACAATCTGCCACAGCCACTTGCACCTCCTCTTCCACTTCACGGCACTGACCTTTTGAAATATTCAATTTGTTTATATACCCAACATTTAAATGTGTATTATATGCTTAAGAAAAATAATTTAAAAAATCTGTTTTATTGTAAGAATAATTAGTGAAAAAATATTGTCTCACTCTTGATCCCTCACATCAAAGCTTGAAGGGAAGGCAGGTCACATAATCTTACATTTTTGCATTTCCCACAGGACCTAAACTTATAGTAACACTGGGATGTATCATTTGTTTTCTTTTCTTTATAATATGATGACCTGTGAGGCATGAGGCCTAACTTTTTATCTGCTTGAAAAGAATTAAAAACAAGATTGAAAAGTGTATCATATTTTTACAAGCAATCATTCATAATATATAATCTCATTACCTAAAAGAATGCTGAAGAGTTCTGAAATGGTTGGATGCACAGTGTCTGCATCAGTTGTGAGATGGTGGACAGCCTCCTGATTATGGCGAAGAATGTAACGTAGACGACTCAAAGCATGGAGGCGCACATCCAGGCTCTCATGACTAAGACCACGCAGTACAGGTGACAAGGCACTTACTACCTCTTCTCTACTACCTCTGAAAATATATTTGCCACTTTGAGTCCTTTGTCCCAAGTGAATGGTATGTCTCCTTTCTCTTCCCTTCTTGTGCACCACAATGCCTATCTAAAGGCATTGCTGAAAATTGGTTATCCATTTTGTAATTATAGTTAAGGCTAAAATCAATTCCAATGGAGTATCTCCTTCTGCCCTTCATCGAATACAGTAAATGATCTCATGGATAATGATGTGTGTCAACATGTATAAGTCCCACCCAGCCTGTGTTACGGCCATATTCACAATCAATGCGAAGTCCTCTGTGACGAGAGTTTGTGAAGGTGATCACATTGTTGTACCCACAGTCAATGTGATGTGACAGAGGTCGTTGCTGATTGGCTCTTGGAACTTGACTTTGCAACAGTCAGGTTCTGAGAGCCAATCAGGGCTGACTTCCATCGCATCACATCAACAATGCGATCGCCTTCGTAAACTCCCGTTGCAGAGGGCTTCACATTGATTGTGAATATGGCCATTAATATGATGATTATTCAACTGGTCACTTCTAATTTACTGTGCTGACATAGCATCAAAGGCTTTCAACTCTTCAGCAGCAGTTTATGAGTTAAAATCTAGCTATAAAAGTATATCAGTAAAAATAATGAAAAATAAATAAAATAAAAAACATTACATATCAGAAACAAAGAATCTTCCACTGTACTCCAATAATACTATACAATGAAGTTTCCTCTTTGCCTAAATTCCTCCTTACTTTTAAAAGATGTTCACTATCCATATAGTGAGAAGTCTTTTTATATAAAAGAAATGAAAAGAAAGGAGGGAGGGAGGGAGAAAAGGTCCTGAAACTAAAGCCTACCTCTCATCACTGACATCAATAACCTAGCCAGGCAAAATCAATATCTTCCATCTCAATTTCATAGTTTATAGAAAGAATTCCATCAGTGGCTGAAACAATTTATGAAAAAAATATATACAGTGCTGTAACCACTGGCATAACTGCTCTTATTCTTCATGTAATTATATATGACCAATGTTAAGACTGGAAAAGAGAGAGAATGAGGAATAACTACCAATGCCAAGAGAACACTATCCTACTAAAGCTGTACTTACCCCATCACTCTTGTCTGTCGCTCTAAGATGGCTTGATTGACTTGTGTAAGGGCTGGGTCTTCAGGAAGGAGAGGTAAATTTCCTAGAAGGGGCCTAATAGATGGCATTTCAACCTAGAGAGAAGTGGCAGGATAAAGTACTTTCTATGATGTCACAATCATGCCATATTCCAGTTTAACAATTAATCAATTTCACTCCCCCTGACATTACATTTGGATCTCCAAGAATTTACCCACAAATAATAAATTAATCTAAATGATACTTTTATGAGAGAATTTTATATAATTTCACATATCCACTGTTGAACACAAACATATTTATTGATGAGATAATACACTGCAGAAGCTTTAATCATCTTTCCATTACATTAAACCTCAAGCCACACAGATATCTGATGTTACTGAATGAAATATATTTACCAAGACACTTGTCAAAACTGGTGCCATCTGCTGAGGTCGTTCCTTGACCAAAGGTTTAACCACAACAGCTACTTCCTCCAATAAACCCTCCAAGGTGCTCTCATCAAGGCTAAAGAAATGAAAATCCACTTAGGCCTATATTACCTTTTCAAAACAAATATACCATGGAATATATTTTCAACAACGATTGAGAAATTCTTACTTATATATGACTCACTTGTACAGGAAGTTTGTCCATGCACTGCAACCAATATCAAAGAATTCATCATCCCTGAGTTTGAGTGCTGTCTTCAAGGATGCTAAGATCTTCCTTGACACTGGAGATATATACTGTCTTCCCATAACTACGAGAAGATCACTCAGTGACCACAGAGCACATCGCTTTTCCCTACAAAACAAAAGTATTTCGATAAAATTTATCATCATAAAATCATTCTATAATATAAGAAAAAAATTAAAGAAACTAATAACATAATATTTCTATTTACTTGTACATAGTGGAAGATGACACCAGCTTGCTGTCAAGGAATCCTAAAATTCCTAGGAGTCGAGGTGCTAGATACTCAGCAATATCTCTTGAAGTTGCAGGATCATGAGAGAACTTGCTTTCCATCGTGTTCTTTCTTGTAAGTCTACTTGAAGTGTTATGATCACTGTTTTGCTCAATGGCTCGCATACGGGAAAATTCTCTCAAAACAGCATCACGGTGGTCATGTAAACCAAGGATCAGTTCATTGACCTGGTTCTGGGCAGAGAATATGTGTGACAGTGACAAACTTCATTTTTGTCTTTTATGAGGCTGACCAATAACTTATTCAAAATTAATCTCACATTCATTTTCATATCTTCAGTCACATATTCAAATATATTTTGCCAATATGTATGCCTACTTTATTCCTTATGGCTAATTCAAAAATTACCTGCACAGAGCATCTTCTAATATTCTGAATGTGGATATCTGTAGTGGAGGCTATGAAGTCTAATACAGCCTCCTGCTCTTCTTGAGGATAGTGGAATACTAAGTATGCCAAAATATGCTGTAATGGATATAACCAAAACTTCATTGTAGGAGGAAGATCTTTCTATAAAGTGATTCTCAATATTTGAACAAAAACAGTAATTCAGATAGCTCTTAAAAATGACACATTTTCAAGTTTCCTTTCCTTTATCTCAAGGAACAAAAAGTATTGGGTAGCAACCTGGAAATGATCAATGAGAATGTCCCGCAAGCGAAGAGAGAGACAGCCTGCTAACTCTTGCAGTAGCCCTGGCTTGGCCTCCTGTGTTGCACGCACAGCTAATGCTGGTAGTAAATGGCGTATCTGACTAATTATGAACTGTCCTACATTGCTTTTGCCTTGCTTTCTGTAACAAAATATATGTAGTTAAACAGCATGCAATGAAACTTTTTATTTCAGCTGCATTCTCTTACTCACTATTGTGAACAGTGGCAATTCACTCAGGTCTAACTTGAAAATAGATCATTATATTTTTCAATCTGCCCTAAAGCTGTTTCAAATGAATTTTTTGCGTTAATTATAATCCTTTACCTCGGTAGACTATCTCTCACCTTTCTCTTGATCCACGGAGATGATCAAAGAACAAAAATGGAGTAAAAGTGTGATAAAATTGACAATAAAGGCTAAACAATTAAATGTTATAAACACGAGGATAAACTCCTCCTCTTCCAATAACTTACCTGGTACTTCCTGTAGAGGAAGTATTCCATTCAAAAACTTCTGCAACATGGCTCAGCATTGCTCCCACTTCTCCAGGTTTGACTATTTCTGACAATACCTAAAATTTGAGAATATGCATTTCATTACTTTTTAAATACTTTAACTCATTAATCAAAAAAGAAATAGAGCAAAGATGGAAGTATAATTACAATATTTTTTGTTTTGCATCCTTGCTAAACTAGTATAACACAGCAGCACATCTCAAACTAAAAAAAAAAAAAAACATGATTCCTAAAATTTTAGACCCGAACTGTGCCCCGCAGTAAAAGCCTAACAAAAAATACTTTCAAAGTTTTGGGGAGAGAGAGATGCAAACTACCCAAGAGAAATTAGTGGTCTACCTGAGCAAGAGACTGGCGGTGTCTGATATAGAGGTCCTTCAATGGTAGTCCAAGAGTATTAGCCAGAGAGTGGATAATGAGATGAGCCTGTGCAGTGACGAGCCGATCGCTTATTGCTAAGCACCGTAAGAGTAGCACAAGCACCCCACCTGTTAATCCACCTAAAGGACACCTGTTGGCAATTAAACAAAACATATTGATATGAACCACAACATTAAGTATATGAATATCACAATAATTCAGAGCTTTTGCAATTCTAACTCAATAAGTAGCATCTTACAGAAATAAGAATAATAAGATATTCAAGAAAGTACTACAGAATAAATAAATAAAGCTAGATAACCAACCTGACAAGATAATGCAGTGCTTCTAGTACAGCTAGATAAGTCTTGCTTGATGATTTCTTCCTTTCAGCTGTCTTGAAGAGCTCATTCAAATAAGAAAGAACCAGCTCTCCTTCTTTGGACACCACAGCAGACTTTAAATCCTGAAAAAATGTATATGCAAATACACTAAATAATGATTATGATCATAATACAGCTAATATCAATAATACTAACACTACCGCTAAAACTAATAATCATCATTATTATCACTATAATGATTACAGTATCAATAATAATAATATTAATAAATAATAATGATAATGATAATGTTGATGATAATAATAATAATAATAATAATAATAATAATAATATAATATGCTCATTAATAATGACAATAATAATAATGTCCTCATTCATAATGACAATAATAATACCCTCAATAATAATTACAATAATAATTCATTAATAATGACATTTAAAATAACAATATCAACAAAAATAATAACATCAGTAATAAATCATCAATAATAATATTGACATTGGTATCAAATATAAATTATCAATATCAAAAATAATAATATCAATAATAAATCATCAATAATAATAATAACACACCCCAAAAAATCACATAATATCCCTCCAATCTTTAAAAAAAAACTAAATTAAGAAATAATACCTGGCTTGAATCACTTTGTACGCCTTGACAAACAAGTTCTGAGAGTTGTCTACACATGGCAGAGACAACCTGCTTATCCTGGTGATCTAGCAGAGAGATATACTGATTGATCATCTGAGGGTTCAGCTTTGTATGGCTGATAACAGCTGGGAGAGCGTCAACAATCGACACTAAGACTTTAGTGTCTGAGTGGGTTAGCAATCCTAGGAAACGAGACACTAGCGTTGGATCAACATGCTGTGCGTCTAGGATGTTAGTTGAATTTGCATTCTTACATACTCTGCAGACAAGGATGTTTGGGCCATACGTATCATCCTCTGACCTGAAGAAAATTTATCTTATCAATCTATATAGATTTCATTTATCAATAATATATGGCTTATATATACTTTGCCACAAGTATACTAACTTACCATTATAATCAGTATATATCTATGATCATACAAATGAATTATAGTATGCAAACTACAAGGTTCTAATTGCTTTTGTTCAAGAAGTATAAAAGTAAAATCCTGATAATTACTGTGGACATTTCACTGTTGTATGATTTAGAAGAGAACACAAAAGGTGAGTCAATGATGCAGCTCCAGCTTGTATAGTCTTGTTATCAGGGAAATGTAAAACCGCACCTACAACTTCACCCACTAATTGTTGGCCTCCAGCACCCCCTAACTGATGCACCATCTGAGAAGAAATCAAAAGGTAATGCTGATGAATATATGCACAAATTTAATCACTTTCTTAACACTGATTTATATTTACACAATTCAAAGAAACAGACATACTATACAATATGGGTGGGCGTGAATTACCTTTTACCAATTTCTTTAATCAATTTACTATGATTATCCTATCCTAAAAGCAATTTTTTTATTCATTATTGAAAAAATACAATAAAAAAAAGGAATCTCACCACAGGGAACCATTTTGCAACTTCATGCATCACAACTGAATCTCTTTCATTGATTGCTGCTCGCATTATGTGGCATCGCCATTTGGGGGCAATGTTCTCTGGCATTATAGCAATAATTGAAATACTAATAGCTTTCACTCTGGAATCTGGAAGAAAAAAAATACAGTATTAAAATAACCACTGTTGCTAATGAATTTTAATATTTTTAAAAATTCATACAAATGGAAATCAAATAAAAAATTCAAGATCCATCAATCATATATTTATCATAAAAGTTCAAAAGCAATATTTCAGAATTGGGCTTACTCAAATACATTAACCATGACTACTTTTAAACACTCAACAAAAAAGAAAATGCATACTATTTCCCCATTTCAGTCTGGATGCCCAAGATGTATACTGTTTTGCATTTGGAGGCTTCAGATCCAACAAGCTGACTTCCGAGGCCATCCAAGGGAGCGTTGCAAGGGCCAGCCACATGTGGTTATTCTGAGGCTTTGTGTTTGACGACTCAGCAACACTCCCAGTCCATGTCATGTACGCAACCGTTTCCATCAAACACAAGACCTTCATTTAAGAGAAGAGTAATTTTTCTCATTCTTCCAAGAAAAAAAAGAAATACTTGAAAAGATTAATGACTGCTGCAAACCTTATCAGCCCATTGGATCCCACTGATGTGGCAGTAATTTCATGAAAATATTTGGCAATGGGCCAAAAAAATATGGCTGAGGGGCAGGGTGAAGGAAAGGAGCCATCATGAAATATCTGGTTAAAGGCAGAGGTGACAGAAATGACTCATCATATAAGTACAAAGCTTTTGGAGGAAAATTAGACTGTGTGGGTATTTAGGAATGGGCTCTTACATCATTTCTACTGGTAAATGAGGTTGGAATGCAACATCTGTGAGTGATGGTAGGAAGGAGGTCACCATTTCCATGCTCAGAATGATATTCCTGTCCACCATGATCAGTGGCAGGGGGGTGTTATAAAAATATTATAATAACACAAAAATACAAAACAATGACAAATAACTAGAGGGATAATATGGAATCAAATCAAGGAAAACTATCCATTACCATCTTGATACAGCATAACAAATGACAAAAATAGACCTTGGAAAATAGCAAAAAATATTTATGCAGAACAGGAGATAACAATAAAAAGGGGAGGCAATGAACACTGATACTATACAAGTGTTCATGTGAGCCACATTTAAAAGCATTATACAAGCCATGAGATCAAATGTATTAAGATAATCAATAATACTTTTTCAATTAGAAATTCACCCTGAAAAATACTTACAATGTTTACATTGTCTGCCTCAGCCATGATTGTAGCTAGGGAATCTGCAGCCACAGTTACCCAGGAGTCAGGGAAAAATTGTAGTGTGACCTAAAAGGTAAATAAGCACATAAATAATGATTAAAATATTAAAAAGGGAAAATCAATCATACAGGCACTAAAACAATATTTTCAATAACTATATATAGCTTAAACATCTTTCACAATTTGAAATATTAAAAATAATTTTCTACTTAAAATATTACTATATAGCATATGTCATGACATTATGTTATACTAGTAATTCTGCAATCTGTAAACTGAAAACAAATAATTTGTGGCTTTCAGCTAATGCATGCAGAACTGGATTTGTGTTTTAACACAAAGTTTCTGAGTTTACATTAAAAGAAGAAAGAAAAAAAATTCTAATAAATAACCTGGGCATTTGGGATGTTGGTAATGACACGGCCTGCAGTACAGATGATCTCTCCCAGTGCCTTTACATGGTCTAGGTCTAGTGCACTTGTACCATCTGTCCAGTCTGACAATACATTGCCCATTGTCTGTAAGGCTTGCTTCCATAGCTTGCTTATGGTCACTACACTTATAGTTGGCTGCGCACTCTCACTGTTCAGTAAAACAAAAACTTCAAAATCATCTTCAGATCAGAAAAAAACGATAGTCTGGGAAATTAAGGGAAATGAGAATCTTCCCTCTCCAAAGTTGCTCTCTCAGTACAAAGTTCTATACAACTAGTAGCTTGCATACATAAACCATTTCAGAATCCAAGTTTTCCTTAAACTTTTCCCTCTTTTTTCAGAAACAAAAATTGAAATGAAACTTTGTGTGAACTTACGTCTCAGACAAACGCCTTTTTCGAGACTGGCTGCGCGATATCTCCTGTTGTTGGCTTTGAATAGCATGGCTTGGCAATGCCTCCAGCAAATCTCTAACCACTATCCTCTTCAGGATAAACTTTGAAACCTGCAACAGAATGATTTGCTCTATCATTATACCTCATATGCTATCTCTAGCCAATATATCTCAAACATTTATCACTCATAATGTTTTAAATCAGGAAAAAAATCACATGCTTACTAACTTTTCTACATAAAACAAGTCAATGATTATCATTACCTCTTTTAGCATTATATTTTCTTCAGCACATAAATACATGGCCTCCTGAGCATCCTGAACACATGGTGATGATGTCAAAGCATCAAGCAGTACACAGTGACACTTCAAAAGTTCTGCTCTTAGAGTTTCTGTTTTAAAATGATATTCATTATATTATTACAGAACCAATTATCTATGTGTCTAATTTCTGACAGATCTTCAATACCATATATGATATGAAATTTAATATTCAGAGATACATCAGGAACCTGATGCTTGACATATATCCTTAAATAATTTTGTAAATATATACCTGGTATTTTTTTAAGTCCTTCTGCTTTCTGAAGACAAATTGAAGTTTTCTGTAGCATTTCCTCTTGAAATATTGGTAAGAAAAAGGGAATATGCTGAAGTAAGACATGTATCACTTTAGCTAAATGTTCAGGGAGTATATTGTCTGCTTCCTTCTGAACATTTTGCTGATGTGTGCCAGGCAAATCCTTAATGATTTTCCCTGTGTTCTCCCCAGATCCACTCTCATCCAACACCCCAGACAATAAGGCACCAACACACTGCATCAAGTAGTCTAGTCTCTGTCAAAAGAAGACATGAATTCAAAATCTACGAAATACATCACTGCACATATATCAATATTATGACAAAAATGATGCTACATATATTTAAAAATCATAGTAGTAATGCCCTAGGAAATAAGTATTCACAGAAGACTATCAAAATCATAAGCAAAATTAGAAATCAACAAAATTCATTAACTGCTTGTTATGATTTCCTGAAAAAAACATATATTAAAATATATTTCTTACCTCATTACTTTTTGGGACACTACAGCTGTCTATAAGAACTGTGACTGCACCAAGAGCAGCAACCTTCAGTTTCTCATCTCCACCTTCCAAACATGAGCAGATGAGTAGCCACACTCGATCCATCATCTGCCAGCAATATTGGTCTATAAAGGATCCCAGCTGGCTAAGAACCTGTAAAATTAAATAAGTAACATAATGAAGAAAAAACAAATTAATAAATGAAAGGAAAAAATGGATATATAAATTTTTCTTAATTTCTTTCATAACAAGGCCAGTTAGAAAAACGCTTTCACACCTGGTATTGGCATACTGAAGGTATAATGAATATTGCATTTACTCTCCCCACACTGTTTCTTACCATGATAATTGTTGTGAGAATACGATCCAGTTTTGAGTCATCCACAAAGGTGATGGTTTTGGGAACTGGATGGGCATCATTCCTTCTGATCACCGAAGAAAAGCACTGGCAAACAACAGTGCCCCCCTCAAAGAGAACTTCTTTTCCCTCTGAACAATTAATTTTGAAAATGAAACAATAGAAAGACATTTCAGGTCAATCATATTTTCTTAAAATGTATAAGAGATTTCAAATTCCCAAGTACAGCAAAAGTAAATTGATCATTCAAATAAAAGCACAGGATAAAACTTTGGTTTCTCTGATTTGAAACTTTAATAACAAAAACAAATTAAAGAAATTTGTAAATTTTTATTTGAAAACTATTCCTAAAAACAGAGAAAATAAAGTATTTCATAGGAATCATTCTGCTATTACCTAATCCAATGTTGATGTAATCGGCCATCACTCCAGAAAACAATAGAGGACTGCGAGTTGCTAAAATACGCATGATGGTCACTTGCAGGTTTACATTTGCCTTGTTTACAGTTTCTGACCCTTCCACTGTTACTAGTTCTGCTATCAGCCAGCAGGTAAATTCTGTTGAAAGTTTTGACAAATATGAGATTTAAAATATCACACAATTTCTGCTTCACTATGAAGACCAAAATATTTAATTTACAGTATTCTATTTCCTGCATATGCATCAAACAGGTGAGGAAAAGTATCTAGATAAATAAGTAAATACCACATTATAGCTGTACCTGAAGTCTTATCACATTCCAAGGCTTTTGAGCTTTTGTGGCCATTAGCTTCATTAACATTGGTGATGTTAACAGGGGCTGTAACAACCAAGCCTTCATCATGTCTACAGACATTTGCTAAAGAAGTCAAAAGTGTAAGTATATTTGCTTCCTCACCACCTTCAAACACAGGACCAACCACTGAGACAAACTTGTCTCTCAGGGCAGTATTTTGGCTGTTCCCAGATCTGAAAATTATTACATAGATGAATCAATGTATATGTACAGTTTATGAAGAGTTATAGTACAACCATACCCAAACACAGTATGCATATACATACATATATATCATGCATAATATTATGAAAATAAAAAGCACATTCTAGAAAAGACGGAATGAAAATTAAAGGCTAAAAAGTGCATTGTGCCTTCTCACAAAGGAGAATATTGCAATTGTGTAGACACATCTTATGAATACTATATCATATATTCATGAAACAGCCATAAAATAATGCTCATTATGATTAGCTTTACTTACACATCATCTGCCATCTTGGTGAATCACTTTAAATGCCCATCTTAATTCCAATCTTCCTCATATACTGGTAAATATCTGAAAAAAACAATATCTACTGATGAAAAAAAAATAACATCAAATAAAATAAATAAGCATATACACTTAAATGAGAGAACTTTTTAAGTTATATAATATCCTTAAAAAAAAACTTTCTAAAAGTAACATAAGTAAGATATACAATGAAACATTACATTCATAACATATAAATTAGTCTCATTTTGAGGCAGGAAAGTTCTATTCTTTTACCACATCTCTGACATCTTTTTAGCATCTAAAATTCAGATTCACATCTTTAACAATTTTTTATGCTTTTAATTATTTCACTTTTTATAGTACCTATAAAACTGAATTAACCAATCATACAGATTACTGTTTGTGGATATCATTTTGTGCTGGACCTTGAAAATAATGGAAGCTATTTGCAAATGTCATTACCATCAAGAGAAATGTTATTTTTTACTTTGGTATATCTCCTCTGTAATGTTAAGGTAGGTTTAAAGGACTATTGTAAATACAATACTGCCTCTCACAAATGGGCATTCCCTCAAAGGCCTATCTTCTCCTTATTTATTCTGGCAAGATAGATCTTGTAGTATTCCTTATCAACAAGAAACCAGTCTAGAATGCACATTTTGGAGATTTCAGCCTATGCAAAACACACAAGCAATCATGG